ACAAACATTATTATTATTATTATTATTATTATTATTATTATTATTATTATTATCTGCTTATTCCGTACTTTGCAACCAATTCACCATTAACAAAAATTCGTGATTTTTTATTGCATTATGCAGCGTATTCACAGTTGGTCCTGGTTGATGACCCTGCTTATTCGCTCACTTAAGCAGATCATTCGTGTAGATAACTTGCACAACAATTCAGTATACGTAGACATTCTGCACTATGAAGGTGGCAACCATGATAATGTCGTAGCTTTTGAGAAATCGATCACATCGCGCGAGTAGCCACAGGCCGATGTTTTCTTCATTTCCAGCTGCTGTTGGGAAAATGCTCAACATTTATGTTATCGGATGACTTTGATGCTGCTGGGTCCACAATATAAAATGTCAGCTACCAAAGAATGATAGCATATTTTGTGTGTATTTTTGTGCTGTTTTTTCTAGGTGATGTGTTTCAGTCGTCGCAAATCTCATGCCAGAAAATGAATAGCTTCCGTTACTGACGATGTTGGATCAGATGGCCTTTTGGGCTGCCTGTAAGTCACTGACAATTCACCCCTCCTACTGAAGGTGTAGTGGCCATTCTGTCGAGGAGTGCAGCAGTCAAATTATGCGCACTAGCCGGTAGAGTTCGATCAAGAGAGAAACATTCTGGGATGATTTGGTGTTCCAAGCGTTGAACGACTCGCTCTGTCGGTGTGTCGAAGGTGATAGGGATGGGTTCACTTCGCATATGAGAGTGTTCCAGGTTTAATATTCGGGCTTTATTGAGGGTTACATGGGTAGGCGATGCCTATATGTTGGCATTCTGGGCTGAAATATTCAACGAAGTGCGCTCTGGCTAACGCCAAGTGAAACAGGTGAATGGTGTGCCATTGCTCTTTGCTTTCTATTGTTCCTCGATTTTGCGTAAAACAGCACCTGGTACCAGAGGCACTTTGTTTCAGGACGGCGGATTTAAAGAACTCGCATGGAACTAAGGCCTTCCAAGATCTTGTACATGTGACACTTTCCAAGAGTGATACCAGTTTGCCTATACAGGTTCACTGTACATCGTGATTCTGGGATTCAAGCCACCATTTACTTACTTTATGAGTTTAGCTAATTCGTCATCCTCACACTTTTCTCGACCCTTTCCATTTCTGCAGCTGCTAAGGCCGCGAAGCCCCAACGCTGGCTTTCAGGTTTAGTGGCCAACCAGATCAGTGATTTACCACCAGTCCATATTTCCCGCAATTTACAATTTCTCATCATGTGTCATGCAAAGCGTCCTGGTTTTGTATCCCCCCAACTGTGTTGTTGCTCGCCATTTTGGATTCTTGCGGTTAAATCTTGCTCCAATTTGATGCGTTCTCTGCTCACCATGTAAAAAGCTGATAATTGTGTCCTTTCCGTTGTCGACATCTACGGTATTTAAATCATGGAAGTTTAAGCATGATTTATTCTCTGTCGGATAACGCCCATTGTTTGTGTGACCGCCGTGTTTCGGCACGTTACTGAACACCAAAATCAGATGTCGGGCCTATCTTCGTTTGGACTATCATTGTTATCATGCACCAAGTTCGTTTAGGAGATTAACAGTAAGATAATTTAGTTTGGCTCGGTCTCGGCTCCCATTATACGCTTGGGGAATTTTTCGCCTTCACTAGCCCCACAGGAGAGTAACAGAGAATTGCCAAAACGTCCTGCATGGATGATTGTATGATTTGGATCGAAAATATCGTCGCTCAGACCAGGCATTTTATGCCGTCAATTTTTTGATGTCAGATTGGACATTAAATTGTCATCATGAGATCAGAGTAGTTTTGACGGACTCACTCACTGTCGTGCTGTTGAATGTTGCGCCTAATTTCTGGTTTGTAGGGGCCTTCCTCAGACGCATTTAGCAGTGCACCGATTCAGATTCATGGGCTGCACTACCTCAAACACGATGGCTTCATTGAGGTTCGCGCTATTGTGAGTATTGGCAGACGATAGAAGACCAACTAAAATTCAAAGGAACACTCAGTCAGCTTGCAATGCATGCAAATTATCTTATATATCTATCGTAGCCTCTTATTAAAGTTCACGGATCGATAAACAAGGTCGTGGTATATATCCAAGCACCAGGGTCCAGTGGCTTCCATTCACCCAAGAGGACTCCGGCAAAAAGTGTGTAGCACTGCTATCCAATTTCTCAGTCCCGGGCAGTACGCTTGCTAGCACGATAAAACACGTAAAACAGTATCCCAAAGTGCCTTAGATTTGGTCTTAAATGCAGTGTGGACAATCGCCAAAGGAGGGTTATGCAACGAAGCAGCTACCCGGAATGCAAGAAAACTCGTCGTCTAGCGAATCGTGTTCTGAGTTTGAAATTTTTCTCACGAATAACTCAGCGTGTATTACGTGTATTTTTCAAGTTAATCTGTTGAATTTTGGCATATTATTTGCCTGATGGGTAAAGATACCTTGGGAGCTCCTTTTAGTTCCAGAAGCATGGCAGTATCATAGAATTTCTCCCATGCGTTTAGTTACGGGCACCCTTTAGGAACGGATAGCATTGGTGTTCGGCGTGTGAAATTGAAATACGATTGGAGACGTCGGAATGGCGACAAACATGATGAAAACTTTCGCTCCGCTTTCTCGCCCTCCTGTCTTTTAGGACTCCATAACTTATGTTGGAACTCGGTTTGCTGCCTTCTTTATTCCCCGGTTGATAACCTAATCTTTTGTGGCTGATGGACTGATCCAAAAAACTATGAATATCTTGCAGGCGTTGTTGTAGTTGACACGGCTGAGGCATTTGGCCATTTCAAAAATTCGAACGCGCCACCGCAGGAATGAATTCAGGACGTTGTCGTTCTTTTACGAGCTCAGTTCAACATGCTGAGTGATGACAGTAAGGTACACTGATATTCAGGGATTGATACAAAAATCGAGGCTTCCGCCAAAGTTTCCCGGGTCAGTTTTGTTCTTGTCATTCAGCGACTGTCCTTCACCTGAAGGGCACAACGGAAAAAGTGTGTAGCACTAAGCTTTAACTTCTTGACGCGCGTCAGTATATTTGCCTGCTCAAGGAATCGCATAAATAAGTTTCTACCAGTGCTTTGAATTTGGCTCCAGGAGGAACGTAAACAAACGTAGGAGGAAGGCTATTCCACGTGGCTACTACTCGAAATCAGAAAAATTTTAGCCTGATGAAAGTGTGCGCTCTGAGCTTGGAAACTTAGCGTGTCCCCGACGTTTTTTGCAGGGTCGACGGTAGAAAGTTTGTTCGCCAAGCCTTTTTCAAGCGTATTAAGCTGAAGAAAAACTCTTCGGGAGCTACAACAACGTACGCATTGCACGCGGCTGGAGCTAAGCTGGGTAATCGAGAGTGTTGTCCGCAGCAAGATCACGGGGTGGGGGGGGTGAAATAACGTCAGATGCCAAACATCAAATCTGGTGAGTTATCGAAAGGTTTGAATTCAGAAAACGCCTTTATGCCAAGGACAAACAGAATGGAGGGTGTCACTCAGTTATTCATAACAGCGATGAATCTGGGGCGACCAGTGACCGAAGGTCTATTAACATTGCACAGGTTCCACTCAGAATAACGGGTCGGGGATTATACAAACAAACTTCACAATGTACGATAGATGGCTCGCCTCTTAACCAGTCACAATGTGAGTCCATTGCTGGACGTTCCCGCTGGTGAAGTGCCCGTAGATTTGAGGCATATGAAGTGGAGTTATTTGTAGTTCAGTGACTGAAAGTCAGGATGTATATATCTAGGGTTAAAATGGAAAGTTGGATAGAATTCGGAAACTTAACCTTAGTCTCAAAAAATCAAACGCCTTACCACAAAGGACACCAGTTAAAGTTCAAAATAAAAGCTTAAATTATTGGTTTCCAAAAGTTTGGTGGTCTCCAGTTCTAAACAACTATGGGCTGCATTTGTTTATGCTTACCATTTTCATGGTCACCATAAATATATCTATTTTGAATAAGCCACATTCGGGGGATTACACACGAAGATGGAATCCGTTCCACATGCTCGACTGTGTGAGCTTCAGAAGTGGAAAGACTTCAGTGGATATGGTTTCAGCCTAAAGGGTGTTAAAGGAAGAGTTGGAAACTCGATTTGTGAAGTCGATCCTGACTCCCCGGCATACGCTGGAGGCGTCCGAAACGGCGACTTAGTTGTGGAAGTAAACGGCATCAACGTCCGTAAGTTTGGTTGCGCTTTGATTTCATTTTTTTCACTTTCGTCCTAAATCAAAGTGCTCGTGAAAGCTAAATAGTACTGATTTTGGATGTATATATATATATAAAGCATACTGTTCCACTCCCCAAAATGCGAACGTTCCAAAGTGCAGCTGACATTATTCTTCCAAATGACAAAATACCGGTGGTTATACGGACTCAAATATATTTGAGTCCATGTGATCGGTCACAGCAGTACACGTCAGATGTATGTGCGGACATTATTACCCTAGCAGCACACGCAGTCCACGCAGTTATACGACGGTCATATAACCGTCTAATAACCGAGTTTTATGGTTAACAGATGGTTATTTGCACCAAGATAACCGTCAAATAACCGAGTTTTCCTGTTATTGTTCGTTTAAATAACTGTCAAATAACTGTCTGCCGGTTATTGCTCGGTTAAGCAACCGTCAAATAACTGGTTTCCGGTTATTGCTAGGTTGAATAACCGTCAATTAACCGCGTTTTCCGGTTACTGTTCGGTTAAATA